TTTTATCCTGCCCTCAGATGTGGACGAATGTGTCAGCAATCCCTGTGTGAACGGCGACTGTGTGAACACCCCAGGATCATACCACTGCAAGTGCCACGATGGTTACCAGAGCACCTCTACCAAGCAGGCCTGTATTGGTATGTTCCTATTGTTCTGCCACAGATGGCTGAAGCTTTCTCACCCAATCAGCTCGTAGGTCAGAGATGGCTGAAACTTTCTTGCCCAATCAGCTTGTAGATCAGAGATGGCTAAAACTTTCTCAGCCAATCAGCATTTAGGCCAGACATGGGTGAAATTTTTTCTACCAGTTTGGACGTAGTGAGTGATGGTTCTCAGGGTATCAAAGTACAAGTAAAATATTAAAATCCCTTTGGTCAACCTCACTGGCATTTGTTTTAACATAGAATACATATCACCTTATAGTAATATACAACTCAGAGTACTTATTGGTTCTTTTTTATTCAGCTATACAAATTGTGTACAGCGAGTGTACTACAATTATCCACGAGAAGAGGCAGTTTGTCCCATGTAGGTCATTTTATAGTTAATTGAGTATTGACTTCAACCACATGGCTGGGTAGCTTGTTCCACACTCCCACCCTTTGTGTAAAGAACTATACATTTCAACAGCTCCCTAGGAAGTTCCTCATTAGGCCTGTCTGTAGCTGCTGCAGTTGTTTTCCTGTGTCGGGCCAGCAGAGGTCACACTTCAGGCTGCCCCTCTCTTCCTCAGATATCGACGAGTGTATTGTCAACGGCGTTATGTGCCGCAATGGCCGCTGTGTCAACACTGACGGCAGTTTCCAGTGCATCTGCAACGCCGGTTTCGAGCTCACCCCTGACGGCAAGAACTGTATAGGTGGGTACTGCTGCAGCGTCTCCACCATTGCCCTATAGCAGCAGCGCTTCTGTCTCCTCTCGCTGAGGAAAATAAGTACTGTCCTGTCGATCGTCACAGCATGCAATTGCTGACGCAATTTAACAAAGACATGCTTGGACTATTGCATGGCAGGGTGTGCCAGACTTTTGGTGTTTGTTCTTGTTTTGCTTATTTTTAAATTAACTTTTAAATTAGTCACTGCCTGGAGCCACGTCTTCATTACCGACTTGCTCTTGGCTAGTAATAACACAGGACTCTTTGCAAACGTGAACCGAGTCAATGAGCCTGCATTAAGAGTGCAGCTAAGATTTTGGCTATTCTTTGGCCAGATTTTAAAAATCTGACTAAGATCAGACTTTGTTTTAAATATTTGCAAATAAACGCATCTTCTAATGGTTTGTTGCTGTGTGTTATGTGTTTATGTGTAAGAGCGTGTGTTTGACCCGCTAAAGAAAGTATAAAATGGTAAAATTAGATATATTTCTCCTATCATAACAAAGCCACTGTTAAAATCTTCAATGTAGAACTGCAGCCTGATGAATTGTAGTTTTTCAACCCCATTTTTTGCAACAACAGAATGAAACCACAAATTAATTAAACCTGGAGGTAGGATCCATTGCACAGCCATGAATGTCAGACACCACCTCTGGATGTGGCCATCTACTGTATGATACATGACTTAACAATTCCCAATTATTCACAGTAATTGATGTCATAGTTCATTTAATCTTCCCCTGTTCTTCTCTCAGACCACGATGAGTGTGCCACCACCAACATGTGTCTCAATGGGATGTGCATCAATGAAGATGGCAGCTTCAAGTGCATCTGTAAACCAGGCTTTGCCCTGGCGCCCAGTGGCCGCTACTGTACTGGTATGGGGCATTTCTTCTGCTCTTCTCCGTGGTTATTTATTCATCACAGATAACGTCTTGCAACGCAGGATTGTTGCCGTTGTTTTTAATGTTGTGTTTCACGTCTGATTTCTCTGATCTTACCAACCTGGATGCCCTTCTCCTCTCTCTCTTTTCTACTTGTGCCGTCTTGCGTGCCGCACGTTTCCCACAACCCCCGGGTCCGGGTTGCTCAGACATCGACGAGTGCCAGACGCCGGGGATTTGCATGAACGGGCGCTGCATCAACTCGGAGGGCTCCTACCGCTGCGAGTGTCCGCCAGGCCTGGCCATCGACGTGGACGGGCGCGTCTGCGTGGACACGCACATGCGCAGCACCTGCTACGGGGCCATCAAGATGGGCACCTGCTCCCGGCCCCTCCCCGGAGCCGTTACGAAATCAGAGTGCTGCTGCACCAGCCCCGAGCACGGCTTCGGGGAGCCCTGCCTGCCCTGCCCGGCCCGCAGCTCAGGTGATCACACTTGTATTTCACGCCTCGACGTCGGGATGTTCCTCTTGTCGTGCAATCCACCAAAATACAAAAACACAAGACTAAGCTGCTCATTTAAGACACAGTTGTGAGTTATATCTGATGCATGGCATTGCATCGACACACAATGTCAAATGTAAGCAAAGCAATAATATTTAAGGAATTCATACAGTATTGACTTGTATACACACTGCCTGCATTTGACATCTGTACTCTATCGTTGAGGTGAGTTTACGGTATACACCTATCTTACCTGTGGATGTGGCGACATAAGAGCATGTTAGAAAGGATAAGAGCTCATTTGTCTCATTTATCACTCTGCTCTTGTGAACTTGTCCATGTTAAAAGTCTTCTACTTGTGTTGTAATTTGTCTCAGCCTCCGCCCAGGACTGAAAATGTAGTTAGCTGCTTCTCTGTTCTTCAGGAATCTGTGCACCACAGATTGTATTTCACTGCTGTTGCAAGCCCCGTGTTTGTCCTTTCAACTGTGCCTGGCTGGATTCCGCCCTTTTCTCCTGTGGTCAATAACTTGTTGCAGCAATAAAAAAAACAGTCAGGGCGAACAATTTCCTGAAGTCACTCGCTGTGCTGAAGAGTCGGGGGGTGGTAGTCGAGGACTGGGAGTGTGCGGAGCTGCTGTGTTTCACTGTCCTGCTGTTTCCTTCCGCAGCGGAATTCCAGGCTCTGTGCAGCAGTGGGATTGGGATCACGGCAGACGGCAGAGGTGAGGACACAAACACACAGCTCTTCCAAGAGAAGCTGGCAGTGTGGGGAAAATTAGTGGAGATGAGTCAATAGTGAGAGTGTTTGTGTGTGCCAGTTATCCTATAGCGATCTAGGATTATATAGCATTATGTAGTCTGTGATTTATATGTAACATACTGTATAGCTGTAATTTGTCTCACGATTGTCAATCAAAACTTTAGGTGAAAAATCATAAAAGCAAAAGTATGTGAACTGGTGATTATATATATTTTAAAATCTAGAATCACAGCTTATATTTTTTAAACCCCACCTATTTGGAATCGCCCACTGTATGCCTTTCACGTCTCAGCTGAGAGGTGTGGACCCCACTACGTACACGGGAGAGAATGAGGAAGTGTAGGCAGAGTCCTCTGTCCTGCCCACCTTCTTCTTAACGCATCACAGGCTGCCCAGCTCAAAGACGATTGGACGAGAGGCTTGTCCCTCCCCAGCAGGAGATTGCTGTGCTGCAGGGAGAGCTCAGCCAATAGCGCACTGCCGCTTGAGGAATCCCATTCAGTGGCTAGTGATGTTACCCACACTCAAACACACAACACTCAGATCATAGAACGCAGCCTGGTCTTGGGTGAACACCTTGAGCCATTCAGGGGTCCCCTGTGATTGTTCCTCAACACAAGTTCTGTACAGGTCTCTTTCAAGTTGCATTTTGGGAGGTTAAACTGCAGTGTATGTTTGTCCACATGGCTTATGTATTTGGGAGCATTGGATGAATTGTCTTTATTATGGCATGAGGGCAGCTTGGAGAGGAGTGTTCCTAGAATAAAGTCCTTCTGCTCTTCCTCAGACATCAATGAGTGTGCCTTGGACCCGGATATCTGTCCGAATGGCATGTGCGAGAATCTGAGAGGGAGCTACCGCTGCATCTGCAACATCGGCTACGAATCTGACACCAGTGGGAAAAACTGTGTCGGTGAGTCTATAGCGCCCTCAGCAGGCAGCGGAGGGAATGAGCACACTCCTCCCTCTTCCCGCCATTCTAAATTGTAAAACTCAGGTTTTTTGATGTCTTCCTTTATGCATGTGAAGATCGATGGTTGTTCCTGAATAAATATGTATCCTGAACATTTTGTTTGGCCCTGTGCACTTACGCGCTCTGTCATTCCTGCAGACATCAACGAGTGTTTGGTGAATCGCTTGCTGTGCGATAATGGACTGTGCCGCAACACCCCGGGCAGCTACTCCTGCTCCTGTCCCACAGGCTTTGTCTTCAAGGCAGATTCGGAGACCTGCGAGGGTGAGTGCCCTGCTCCGTGCATTGGGGGGATGCCATCATTGTGCGTCCGAAATAGGGGCTGTTTTTTGAGAATCACCCTTTTGAGAATGCACCCCCTGACCCCATATCCCCCCCCTCCCACCCACTGTAACCACATTAACATTTGCCTATTCTTGTCAACATGGAGGTATGGTAGTTCTTTCCATTAATTAACTCAGTATTTATTATGTACACCTGGAATGGTCCCCTTTACTAAATGATTAAACCAAAACCTTCAGAGTCTCAGGCGCGAGTCTCAGGGGCTGCTGTGTGTCTCCCCCTGGCCTGATCCCATGCCCTGCTCTGTGCTTTCCTCTCAGACGTGAACGAGTGCGAGTCTAGCCCCTGCGTCAACGGAGTGTGCCGCAACACGGCGGGGTCCTTCAACTGCGAGTGTTCCCGTGGCAGCAAGCTGGACTCCACCAACACGGTCTGCGTGGGTAAGGGCTGTCTTTCCAAGTGCCTGCTTGTAAGTGTTCACAAACACTGAGCCGGGGCCCTTTCTGTGCTCTGTGAGCCCACGAGCAGCCTTTCTCCTGCGGCTGTGTCTTTTAAAAATTCTTGACTTGGTAAAGCGGCTTAAGAAAATAGCAACCAGTTTAGGTCACACTGAAAGGTATCATTGATTAAATTTCATCCCTGCTGTTCATGTCTTATTATTGGAAGTGATGTCATAGTTGCACATTTATTATGTTTGGCTGTGAACTTCGAAGTGTCTGCAGCTGGACAACCACACAGTCCAGAGAGTTGTTAAATGAGCCAAAAGAGCACCGTTTGTCACGCACAGCTTTATTTGGCTTACTTTTATAAATCGCGTTTGTCTCATTCTTCTTTTAAAGACATTTAAAATGTTATAATGCTAGATGTTTAAAGACGAGAGAGAGCACACAGCTCTCCTAATGTGAACCACATTGTGGCGTGGGTGGCCTAGCCATTTGGATAGCAGATCATTAAATTTCCTGCTTGTTACATTGCTGTTAGTCACTCTCAAAATCAATAGTGAGTCTGTGAAATTCCTGTGCACACACATACATGACTAGTGAATTCATTGTTAAAACTGAAATCTTTTTTAATACATCACAACATTTTTTTGTTTTGCTTTCCTTTCTTGCTGTATTTAACAACGTTACAGTGTTCCCACATATGTGGTCTCTCTGAGAGCAAAAATTTAACTGTAGGATGGCTAGTGCTTTTTGAAAATGTCAACGATATTCTATGTATATCATGAAGGGACACTGTATTCCAAGAACGGACTGAGATTGAGTGCTGCGCCCTTACATACTGAACTACAGTTAGAGAGAGTACTTGTCAGAGGCAGCCACTGGAGTTGATATGTCTTAAAAGCAGATCCCTCTCCCAGGTTGTATTTAGTAAAACCTTTGAACAATTACTGTGACCTTTTATTTAATTCAGAAGGTTTTCTTTTTCTGCATACTGGAGCCTATTATTTTACTTAAGATTGCCCAGATGTAACAGTACCTGAAGGGAGTCCTTTCTTGAACTCTCTCCCTGCAGACAGCATGAAGGGCACGTGCTGGCTGAACATTCAGGATGGGCGCTGCGAGGTCAACATCAACGGTGCCACTCTGAAGTCGGAGTGCTGCTCCACCCTGGGGGCCGCCTGGGGGAGCCCGTGCGAGCGCTGTGAGATTGGTGAGTGGCGCCCTGTCGGCCCCAACAGCTTGCACCCCTTGTCCGCCCTGTGCTCCTGTCCACCTCCGCTAGGCTCCACTGACACCGTACCCCAGCTTTTCAATGTACCCAGCTTTGCTGCTTTTCTCATGTGATCCGAAGTTGTTTTGCCGCAAAGGCTGTTTTCCATATTGAGTTCTTTGCTAATAGAACCAGATTCCACCACAAGGCAGACCCACATGTTCTTTGCTTATAGGCTGCAATGTCTCCCTAACTATGAAAGATCTGTGCCTTTGTTTTTTTTTACCAAGTTTCCTTTCTCTTTCTTTCTTGCCACTTTGCCTTTTCTCTTTTTACCCTCATTCATCCAGATTAACTCAATCAATGTGTCACTGCAAAGACAAATGAAAAAGATTGTAGTGGCTGTCTAAACCATTAGTTTCAAATCAAAGGCCATTTAAAATGAACAACCGTCCCATTTTTCTCTTCCTCTTTCTCCACAGACGCAGCATGTCCCAGAGGATTTGCACGGATGAAGGGAGTCACCTGTGAAGGTAAGAATACCATCGGTCATCATCAATCCCTGCTCCTCTTTGCCAGGTGGCTGAAAATCCAGGTGGCTGAAAATTTGACTGGAGCCAAATGCATGTGTTATGCTTTGGTATCACAGAAGTATAAAAAGCAGTTGATCATGAGCTTGAAGATAAGTTAGTTAAGTGGATCTGACTCAAGTCGCTGCTATATTATCAGTATCCCTAAGTCAGACACAAGCTGCTCCGTAAGTACACACAACCCAGTCTTGCACCTCCTGGCCAGATTGAACAACACATTGCTGTAGAGTCGTGCTTTGCACAGGCAGAAGGAATTCTAAAACAACCTGTAATCCAGGGTCGAGCAGTTACTAGAATGATAAAGAAAATCTTGTTTAATTTGCCCTTAACCTTTCTTATGTTACCACCCCCCACCTTACCCAGATGTGAACGAATGCGAGGTGTTTCCTGGCGTGTGCACTAACGGGCGCTGTGTGAACACCCCGGGGTCCTTCCGCTGTGAATGCACAGAGGGACTAACCCTGGACGGGACTGGGCGCACCTGTGTGGGTAAGAGACTGAGAGACACTTTGTGCTGAAACTTAAGTGTGAAGTCGCTGTTAAGACTGGAGACTCCTGATCCAACTGCGTGCAATGTCAATGATTGGACAGTGTGTCCAGCTGTGTTTTGTGTGGGTGAGTGATCAGTGTGTCCAGCTGTGTGTGGTGTTAGTGATCGAGCAGTGTATTGTCTATGGTCAGACAGAGTGTCCAGCTGTGTGTGTGTCTGTGATCAGACAGTGTGTCCAGCTGTGTGTGTGTCTGTGATCAGACAGTGTGTCTGGGTTTGTGGTGTCAGTGATCAGTGTGTCCAGCTATGTGTGGTATAAGTGATTGATCAGTGTGTCCAGCTTTGTGTGGTATTAGTGATTGACCAGTGTGTCCAGCTTTGTCTGGTATTAGTGATTGACCAGTGTGTCCAGCTTTGTGTGGTATTAGTGATTGACCAATGTGTCCAGCCGTGTGTGGTATTAGTGGTTGACCAGTGTGTCCAGCTGTGTGTGTGGTGTCACTGATCAGTGTGTCCAGCTGTTCACAGTGCCATTGATGGGAGAGTTTTGCCCTGCAGATGTTCGTAAGGAGCAGTGCTATCTGAAGTGGGATGAGGATGAGTGTGGGGAGCCCCTGCCAGGGAAGTTCCGTGTGGACATGTGCTGCTGTTCGGTGGGCTCAGCCTGGGGCGTTGACTGTGAGGAGTGTCCCAAACCTGGGACTCCTGAGTACAAGACCATCTGCCCGCGGGGCCCAGGCTTTGCCAGTCGAGGGGATTTGTTAACTGGACGGCCCTTCTACAAAGGTAACCTCCCCATACATTACACTTCTGCCCAGTCACAGATCAGTTTGTAATTGCTGATAATATTTAATGCGCTGGCATACATGCTAACGGCCCGTATCTCCTTTTTATTATGTGAATCGTTTTTGACTCATATTGTCTTTTGCTAATCTTTTCTCCAATCTTTGCTGCCCAGATGTGAACGAGTGCAAGGTGTTCCAGGGGCTGTGTTCCCATGGGACGTGCCAGAACACCATAGGCAGCTTCAAGTGCCGGTGCAACAGTGGCTTTGCCCTCAACATGGAGGAGAGAAACTGCACAGGTAAGGGTCTGGATGGAGAATGGAAACAACAGGAACCAACACAGAAGGCTTGTTTAATCAGGAAACCCTAGTAAAGCAGTACCTTGGACAAAGCACAAACGCCGTCAAATTTTAGTTTTCTCCAGTTGTTGCTTAGTATACCTCCAGGATTTGAAGAGTTTCAAACTTTTAAGTTTGGTTTTCCAACCTGCACTGTCCTCTGTCTCTCTCCACAGATATCGACGAGTGCCGGATCTCTCCAGACCTGTGTGGCCATGGGACGTGTGTGAACACGCCGGGCAGCTTCGATTGCGAGTGCTTTGAGGGTTACGAGAGTGGCTTCATGATGATGAAGAACTGCATGGGTAAGACAGCGTGACCCCCAAATCCCTCTATCCTGCATCTACCTCCAGATCCCCTCTGTCATGCCTGTCTAGTGCTTATTCCTGCGTGTGATGGATGAGTCAGTCACCTTTTTTAACATGGCGATGCTGATCCAGTTATGCACCTCTGCTTGGGGAGTCCCAGTCACAGCAGGCTTGTGATATTACCCAAGCTCGAACCCGTGACTCTGCCTTAGAGCTCCCCGCCACACGGAGGAGCATGGATCTTTGTAAGCATAACTGTCCACACAAAAGTATAGAAATCTTAATTAAAAACACATCTGAAACTTTCCACTCCTTCCTTTACTAAACACGTGCTGATCTGTGTTCCACAATTTGCTCATGACTGCAGTTGACTGCAGCCATCGCACAGTCAGCAGTCCCTTCCTGAGGCGACTGCAGACAGATTCGTTGGCAGTAGCGTTTCCAGTTGGGGCAGAGGACATCAGTGTGTGATGTACCACGCACTGGTCAGTGCATCCAGCTGCCATTACACAAGAAGATGAAATCCTGCGTAGCCGGTCAGCTCTCTCATGCTTTCCCGCTGTGACTACTGTACATGTGTTTATGAACCTCTCTCCTGGTGGCAGACATCGACGAGTGTGAGCGAGACCCCCTGCTCTGTCGCGGTGGGACATGTATCAACACTGAAGGCAGCTATGAGTGTGACTGTCCCCCCGGCCACACTCTCACCCCTGAGGGCGCAGCCTGTGTGGGTGAGTCACATGGTTCACATGTCACATGGATTTTCTCTAGAAACCTGCATGGATGTTCGCTGTCCATGACCAGGAACAGGTGTATATGAGTTTGTCTGCAGCAGGCGTTGTAGTCACAAAGTTTGAGAATTTGGCACAAAAGTTACTGTACATCTGTATTAGCCTGTAGCCTATATAACAGGTAACCTTGTAACCCTGGCGCTGGTGTTTTTTAAATTTTCCAGTTTCTAAAGGCTCGGAAAACTTTGCTTAAGATTAATTACGGGTAATGTGTTAAATGATGTCATTTGCAGGTCATTAGGAACATCATTCCTCGGCTGTCAAGGATAAGAGTTTCTGCATTTAATATGGTGACAGTAACAGACTATGAGAATTTTGTTCTGCTTTTTTGTACTGAGGGAATTCCAGTAATTTTGGTATAAGTGCAACTGAGAAGTGAACAGACACCAATAATCCACTGTGCAGCCGTTCCCTAGCTTCAGTGCTGACCTCTGCACATCTGTTCTCCTTGCCAGATGTGAATGAGTGTGAACTCAGTGACAACCTCTGTCGCAACGGGCGCTGTGTGAACGTTGTGGGCACCTACCAGTGTACTTGTGACACCGGATACCAGGTCACGCCGGACAGGCAAGGCTGTATAGGTATGTGCGGCCACGTACAAAATTGTGGACCTACAGTAGTCCTTAGCCATTTAGATGTATTGTATAAAAATGCTGGGCAGCAGAAAACATAGTACTTGTAGTTGCTGTATGTCTCCAGTGTGACTCCCTAACCTTAAAAAGTATGTTTTTTACTTTTTGTATTATAGTTTTAGAATTTGACACATTTTCTTTATCAGACATCAGGCATGTGTATTTTTATTAAGGATATACATATCCTTCTAGTTCATGCGTTATGGACTATGTGATCTGGAGTG